GATTTTAGTCATAAATTGTTATGATCAAATCCATTATTTTATGCCAGTTATGAATTATGTCGAAACCAATGACAAGACAATAACAAAAGCTATAAATTCACTATAAGTACCGTAACTACACTTTCCTAGAAAAGAAGTGTCGTGCTGGGAAGTTACCAAGGCAATAGAATTAAATTATTGATTGTGAACAGCGTGCAACGGTACGTAATTAACTACAAAGTTACCAACACTTGAACCTTTTACTGTGGTATGCATTCATTAGCAGTGGTTTGCCAGTGAAGACAATTCACTTAACGTGCTAATAAGGAAACATTCTTGCCTAATTGCGTGAAATTACCTTTAACACGTAGTTAGAAACAAATATGGAAATCACGAGTAAAGAAAAACCGGGCGTCAAATTGAAATTATGTAAAACAAAACATAGATAACTAATATTATACAACTATTGTCAACAGATTTGTTTTAAAATAAGAACGATTCATGTGGAATAATTCCGTCAAAAATCGATTGGTATTTCCTATTATTTATAAATTAAGATATATTTAAATTTAAATTTAAAAATTTATGTTAATTGAGTAGAGTTGCTATTCATGTATCTTGCGTTGTTTAAAAATAGTATTTTATAATAACAAAAATGTTTTATTATTATTGGCTATATACCTACATACCAATATTTATGTAATTTAAACGTTAAAATAAATAAATATGATTCCGAGGATATGCATAACGTTAATGCATCCGAAAGTTTGGATATATCTGTCTTCGATTCGCCACATGCCGCAAATTGGGCTCGTCCATTATTTTGATTCAGTAGTGTTTACGAAGCCCGACACACCTCCAAAATGTGTTGAACATAGTAATACATAAATAGTGCGTCGGCGTACTACATCAGCTGACTATCGCGAGACTGTTCACATGACGGCTTATTTTATTTTAAAACATTCGCCATTATTTAAAATATGTCACCGTTGACATTTCAAGATCACAACCAAGATTTTGTGGCACGTTTATTCTTAAAAATGTTTGTTTTAAAGTACATAGAGCGAATAGTATGCTCGTTTCACCTTGAAATTCCGAGAAAAATCAATAAAAGCAATTTTCGTAGTCATCAAAGCTTTTCCTTGCGAAGGGAATTAAGTAGGTTTAAATATATAAATATTTTTTTTATTTAATCGTGAAATAGAACGTTATAGAAAAGGATGTACCTAATAAATAATTCGATAAATCACGACTTTATAAGTATCAGATATAAGTAGAATTACTAGATAATGACCGATTACGTAATGAGCTCTCGCTATCTAATTACACAGATAAACGTGTTACATGATGTAAGTCGTTGATAAATTGGTTGCTACTGAGTTACATTACCGATTTACAAATATTTTTAGTAATAATAATATATTATTTGTTCATTGTATTTCCGATTTACGTATACTTTTTTTGTGAGGGGAAAATCATCAAATGCCGTTCTTTCCCGGCTAAACATCAGCAATATAGGGCCTCGTCTGTCCGATGGATACCTAATACGCCGAGTGGTATGATTTGCTAATATACTAATGAACTAATTACTTACCTACTTACGTACTTAATTATCGAAGTGCGATGTTGCTATGTCGTAAGGCTCGCTAGGAGCCTTCCGATTTTGTAAAGTAAAAGCCTAAACAAGCAAATCTACACAGTAATATTATAGAAGATTAATTTGTATTGTGCCGAAGTACATATATATAAAACTAGCTTTTCTCGCGCGGTTTCACCCGCCCCTCGGCTCCATTTAATCGCAGCGTGATGTTTTATAGCCTATAGCACTCAGGAACATTGAAGCTATCAGTGAAAGAATTTTGGCAATCCGACTCGCGGTTCCAAAGATTACCCCCTACATACAAACTTACAAATTTTACCTCTTTATAATATTAGTATAGAAAAATACCATTGGAAAGCTTCATTTATAAAATAAGCTGACTATATTACGCTTACATTACTGATAGAAATATTTATAAAAATGAATTTTATATCCACCCAAAATGTATTATGACAGATATTACAAAGTTAAATCCTTCCAAAATTTATCAAAATATTTTAAAATCTTATCCACAATTTCCAATTTTACAATTAATCATTCAATATTTAGTATACACTTGAACTCATTTTCTTATCTAAGCTGTATTTCCCCTTTATCTGGATTTCGCGTTCTTCATATATTTCAGCAAATAAAATCCTGTAGTAGGTAACAATGATCAGTCAGGACACACCCACCGCATTGTTTTTGTTGATAATGACACGTTGACGTATCCATATGTTTCAAACGAGCATAATAAATCGTTGAGATTATCTCAACGAACGTTAACTTCATAGACCCAATTGCCTACTTCGAATTTAAACGGTCGATTCGTATTGATGACGAACAAAATTAAATATGAAAAAAATCTGGTAAAACTTGTTTCGTATGAGATAATAGAAGTCGCTTCTACATACCTAAACTACGCAGTAACATGTGAGATTTGAGATGTTCGTGTAATCTACGATCGCGTTGGGGACCGACCACGTGGTGCAAATGTGCAAATGTGCAATGGATGCGATTAGGACTGAAATAATGTAAATATTACGTAGTACGTTCTAATAATAGCACGTAAAGTCCAAGACTTAGGATTATACTAACATTTATTTATATCTGACTAGCGACCCGCCCCGGCTTCGCACGGTAGCAATGTTGATACTAAATATCACCGCTATTTAGTGGATGTTATTTATACTTAAACGTTCCTCTTAATCAATATTTTGATAGGATAAAAATTCACATCAAAATTCGTAACGTAGTTTTAAAGATTTAATCATATAAAGGGATATAGGGACAGAAAAAGCGATTTTATTTTATACTATGTCTGTAGTGATACAGGAAAGACACGTACTGTTTGCTGCCAAGAATGTCATAATTAATAATTTCTTCAATCAAAAGGGATGACTAACCTTTTAGAAACCGGTAAATAGTAGCGAACTAAGACCGTTTGAAGTGGATTGCCTTTACCTAATTCGCTAGTTTTATTATGGTCGTAAATACGAGTTTAGGAGGCTACCTGTTAGTGAAATTGGATGTCAATGTCACATCAACATTATTTACACAAAATGTATATCTACGAGTAGTAGTGTATTGTCTTTCCGTAGATAAGTAAATAAATAATTATACCTAAACTCTTTTTTCTTTTCAATGAGATCTACCCACATTTTGTAAATGATGCTTTTTTTCATCTGAACTTATTTTTTTATTATTCTTTTTAAACAGTATAAAACCTATACATATACATAAAATATATGTTTTTTTATCTACCTACTAGTGACATTCCACCTGATATAAAAAATGCAATAAACATGTAGGATGTAGAATTATATATAAATTGCAAGAGATCGTTGATCTTAATAATTACCTGTTTATACTGACTATTGGCAATTAAATAGCAATTTATTGTAAGTTATTAATAAATTGTAAGCAGCATTACAATACAATGCCTAGATAGTAAAGGAAAACAAATTGACTCTACCAATAAATCTTTCGAGGTATCAGAAAATAAATATGTAATCACAGTAAGTATACAAGTTTCATAAAGATAATATAACAGCATAAAAGTTATTAAGGACTTTTTTATCATATTAACAATTGCTTTTTAGGTTATCTAAGTATAAATTAGTTTAGTAGAACAATGTTGCAGTACAGTACAATACAGGGTCACCAATGTCACGCGATGTTATGGCTTTTGTCAGAATTAGCATGAATACCGACTAGAAATAAAACCTATTGTTCAAAACTATGATTCTTACCTATTTATCCTTGATTCAATTAGAACCTCAGCTTTAATAAATTCATCTTACTTGAACGGAAATATATACCAAGTTCCAAGAAATATCGATAAGAACATTATAACGAACCTAGTGTTGAAAATTATTTAGGTACATGAAAATTATATTTTAGTTTTCATTTTCGTACGAGAAAATGTCAAATTGAAAAGTTTACATTACTCGCCTTACGTTAGTCTCACCGGTACAATACAACCGATTCGTGTTTATATTCGAATGGTGTACGTACGTTAATTTGAATTTTATTTTTATTCGTATTGTTAAATCGGTTACTGGTAATTGTACCTACTTTCAACAAGCACGAGTTCTTCGTACTTTCATCATTCGAACTGACATTTCTTAATTTAAATATTTAAAAAGTTCTATATCCAATGCGCGTAGGCATGTCCAATGTCTCGGTTCTTACTTGTTTCACATGCGCATATTGTTCGCGCTGCCAACTGGCGTTATTTTTGTTGCAATAACGGAAAAGCTCATTGTACTTTACTAGTGCCAAAAAGGGTGTCGGCAATTTACCTACCTACTTCAGATTACGTAACTGACAATTTGTAATAACAATTTTACAGAGTCACTCTTGCCTATCTGTTAGGTAAGCAACCAAAGTCTTCACAAAAAATATTATTACGACACTGTAACAGACTTTATCAAAATTCAAATACCACGTTTATCATGAATTATATGTAACCAGGCATAATAAAAGCTGACATTGGCTGAGCTTACAGAAACTGTCTATCAAATCCGGTATTTTAATGTAACTAGAAAATCAAGTGCTAGTGCGATGTTACATCCTTAGGCCGTACATACGAACAAGTTTATACTTACATGGCATAGGCATGAAGTACTAGTTTTATATCATCGATGAGGCCGACATTGAGGATGTGATCAATTAGAAAGGAAAGCGCGGCAACTATTTAACTTCACGTCACATGAAGGTTTACGCTTACAACACAGATCACATTTCTCAGTCAGTCTCAGACAAGATTGACCAGTTGCAACGAAAACGAGGCCAATAAGTGTTACTTGCACAGCGTGTACGAAACGACAAAAAAGAATGTACCGATATTGAATGTAAAAGGGTTCCAAACTTCAGTAGGTAGGTACTGTAATTTATAAAGTATCCATATGTACAAAAATTGCTACAAATCACTACTCACCGAGCTTTCCCATCATTTCTTCTAAAGCGTGATCCTTGTCCATGGTGAATGTAGTAGTTCCCGGCGCAGGAGTAATTTTGTCGAGGTTCTGTAATGATATTCACAAACACCATTGATGGTAAAGTTATGTCAAACGCGCGACGGCGTGAGCAGTGCAGGCGAACGCCAGGCGTGCGTGCCGGCGGACGAGCGAATGGATGGCAATCGTCGCGTCGTGGCGCCGACCGCGGGTCGGTTACCGCAATCGCGCGAAAAAACCTAACCTCTTATCTGCATTGGCCATACCTGCCAGTTCGGTGGTCGGCAGCGGCAAACAGCACTGGCCGCAGTACCTTGCACTGATACGGAGTACTGACACAGACATTACGCGCTTTCAACAAGACACCCAAATTGAGATAACTTGGGTTTAAAAACATTAAATTGTTCAAGCGTCGGATCAAGGAAGGAAGGAAATATGCGAATTATTTTTTGGCTTAATCTGAAAATCATAAGTATTGTAAATTGCGCGTTCCTATTTGACCAGTAAAGTTATTATCAGCACATGCATAAATGAATGATATCGACCGGACTGTTTATCATAATTCAATTGATAGAGCACACATTGCTTGTTACGTATGAACACGATGTTTACTGCAAACAATTTCAAATGGCACAAACATGTTTGTTGTGTACCTGTCCGGTGTTACCGTTTGAAAAATTGTATTCCAAATAGTTCGTAACTATGACTGATTATTACTATAAGCCTTTAGTCTAGATCATAAAAAGGGGTCCGCCATAATCCAACACGGTAGACCCACCCGAATTTTTATATGTAAAATATAGAAAACGAATATGTCAACCGATGAAAGCTAAAATCTTCGAATGACTTACGTTGCTGAAGTGCTCTCGACAATTAAAAATTCACAAAGTGGTTCTCCCTTAAATATGATTTCTTCAAACTCAAAATATGAACAAAAGAAGTTAATAGCAATTCAAGAAGCCCTTTCATGTTACTGATAAGAAAAATTGTGGCAATTTTAAAAGGTATGACTAATTGAGCGTTTTTGGACAGTGAAAAGACCTCTAGACTTGGTCAAGTTGCCTATCAGTTGGGGGCTATAGAAAACAATGCAAAAGTATGGAAGTTCATGTTGCCCATGTGACTCATCGATGACGACAAAATCCCGATACATTTGTTTTCTATGACGTGAACGGTGGAAAGTTAATTGTTTGTGATAAGAAATTTAAAAGCGATAAAAGGTCTCAAAGTTTCTATAGGCCCTAGGATTTTTGCTAACGTAACATTGAGCCAACTTAGTTAAAAAAAACAAAGGGACCAATGACGTAATATCACGAGGGAAAGTTTGAAGTATCATGTGCTGATATTAAACACATTGATTTACTCGTCAAACTATGTACTACATTGATAAAACAAAATTTCTTTTAGTCTAATCGTCGATAAAATTACGCTATCATATGATAATTCTGTAAGCTCTATCAATAAACTGATATTAAAACGATTATATTGAAAATCTTTCGAGACTTGTCCTATATAATTTACACCAAAAAATCATTTCGGTATTTCCTTTTTATAGATAAAATGTGTTATCTTGTTACTCAAATCTGTCTACATCTATGGCGAAGATGTAGACAGATTAATAGATTAAAAATCAATTGTCACGAGTAATTGGTACTTGAAGGTCATACAAAAATTAACATCATGATCCATCATAATCATCTGCAAGTAGGTAGGTACTAATTGGATGATAATTTTTATTATTTATAAGCTTTAAAATGTCAAAGAAAGGTAATTTTGGTATCGACGGAAGCAATCGTTTTGCAACAATTTTGAAAAATATATTTTTCCCATAAAATGCGTTGTTATTTCATATTGGTTTTTATAAACTAAAAATATATTGTTAACCTGTTTCATATATGCTTTAAGTAGTTACATATATATATATTGGTAAAATTACCAATCCAATTTTATTAATTTTTAGATTCCATTCCACTTTGCCATTCGCCATGGACCAAATATCGGAAACTTGAATAAAAAATTATTTCTTTGTTTTCGCAGCGCTAGCATGGCCCTGATCCATTTTAGTTTTACTTTTTGGAGATATTTTATCATAGAAGGTTAAGACGAAACGTTGTGAAGACGAAAACAAACAAAGTATTCTCATTAGGGCTGATAATTACGGCTAATAATAACTAACGTTATATTAATATTGACGCGTCCTTTGTATTGTTGGAATAGTAACGATCTGACATCAATCTGTTTACAAGTTTTAAACGAAAATATATTTAATAGCTTCCGTGATTAAGTAGTGATTCTCTTAGCATATTAATTTGCATTTTCCGATTTCAATGAGATTACAAAAATAATGGACATAAGGACAGGCATGGTTTTGTTTTGACGCCATTATACTTAATTATGCAGCGTGAATCTATTCATTGGATTTGATTTATTTCCAAGCTAAACTGTGTAAAGTACCTACCTACCTACTATTATTGTGGTACTATTATAGTAGATATTTGTTACGTTTGTTAATTCAACCTTCGATGTTCATGACCAGGTATAGTGTAACATAACATAATGTCTTCGATTCTCCAAAGGAGTCAGAACACATTATTAGACCTAACTTTTTACAGTTATGATGAAGTCAAAGTCAAAGTGAAAATCATTTATTCCAACAAAACCATAAACAGGTACTTTTGAAACGTCAAAATAGAATAATAGTCCGTCAATCTGTTCGTCAGTGAAGCTCGGTGCTCGTTCTAAAGTGTAGATTCGAATGGAGAAGAACGAGCAAGAAACTTTATTGGAGAAGAACGGACAAGAAACTGCATGAAAATCCCATGTCAAATCAAAGGGGCGAGCCTACACGATTATAGGCAAGCCTATGTCCCTGGATAAGCATAATTCCAGACTCTTCCAGTAATACAGTACATATTCCATTAAAACGATTTAGTCTGTTAGACGATGATAAAATATTCCATACCTACTTTATTATTATTTTGGCGCATACGCAGAAAACAATGCTTTGATAAAATGAATTTAAATTTAGAAGTGAAAACCCGCTACGTCACCGCTCAGTATAAAAATGTAAGTACCAAATTTTAATGTGTGACCGTACCTACGTTATAAAGGGTCCCCTAAAAAGAAAAAAAAATATAAGAGACTAAAAACAAATAAATCATCATCCCTATTACTTAAATTGTTGTTGTTGCTGACAAATTTGGAAGACCGTAAATTTATAAGGTATCTGAAACCTTATGCATTAGTAGATACTTGCAAAACCATACAACCAACGTCGATTCTCAAGGACATGGACGTACTAACCTGTTACTGCTCCAATTTCTATATCTCAACAATCGTTGTAACGTTAAACTATACGTAACCTCTATTCCAAGGCGTCCACACTTAGTATTTACAACATTTAGAAAGGGAAACCCTTTTATGAATTAGTTTAACCAACGCTCAACGGTTTTAACGTTGCCTTGAATGAAACAGACATTTTAGAAGCAATGATTTACGAAACAATTTAATAGTAGAAGCAACATACTGATGAATCTATACTATCTATATCAATATTATAAATTCCAAAGTAACTGTGCCTGTCTGTCAGTCTTTTCTTCACGCCTAAATTACTGAACCGATTTCTTTGAAATTTAGTACAGGCATAGTTTAGAACTCGAGAAAGGACATAGGATAGGATATCTTTATACCACAAAACTGCAGGAAGTCATTACACCACGCGAACGGAGTCGCGAGCAATAGCTAGTTAGTGTATATACTATGAATTAATCGAAATTATGAACGAAGCATCCGTTGGTAAACGATATTAGATGTAAGACCCATATGTGGGTTCTATCGTTGCAAGCAATGTCACCAATTTCTTAACCAATCCTCGATAATTTATTGTGAATTTCCTTACATCTCTCGTTTAACATAACACGCACATTTCATAAAGTTCACGAACACGACAAAGATCTCCAACAACATAATAAATTCACTATGCATCTACCAAACTTCTTCATGTAATTCTAAGTAGGTAGCTATAAGTAGATACGTATAGGTACTTACAGAAATTACTGCGTCGTAAACATCAATGATTGTCCGAAAGGGCAGCTCTATGCTTAGGTATACATATGTAACGAATCACACTGACCTATATTGCCCAACATTCATTTCCACGATCCATTCTACGTCTTCTCTATTTCCAGAACATTAGAAATAGCATCCGATAAATGTATATCTACTTATATACCTTTACGTAAGTACTAACTATACATACCTATGTATAGTTACCTACTACAAAAACACAAAGTTATGACAATACCTAATTTGTTATGAATACCAATGTAATAGAAGACTCCGGAGTTACGAATGTACCAAGGGTAGGTTTAGGTTAGGTTAGGTTCAAGCGCAATGATTACAAGATTGTACCAGCTGGCTGCAGCGCAACGTGTTGCGGGTTCTACTCTCGTACGGAAGAACTCTGTTTGTGATCCACAATTAGTTCGATTCTGGGTGGAATGTGTATGTTTGTAAACGTACCCATGACACAGAAGGACATAAAATAAAGTGTGGGACAATGTTTTTTATAAAAAAAAAAGATCAAGAGCAGAAGGAATGGTTTGGTTAACTTTTTAGTCAGACACTTCCGAAGAGTCTAAAAGTCTGACATTACCTCTCACACCACCCAAGGTAGGAGGATGGCAAGTCATGATTTTTTAATACAAAAAAAAATGTATACTGAACTAATTATAGGTACTTGGATTGAAAAGATGAGCCAAAAAGCCCAATATTTATTAGATTTTCTAATTAGCCTTAATACGACTTTATTATAGCCCTTTACGCAATACATGGCTACAGAGTCACCCACAGACCACATGGGAATTATAGTATAAAATTGTTGATTTGATCTGATTTGATTTCAAACGAAAGAAAAAAATATTATTTGTAATAAATTGGAAATTAAGTACCTATTATAGCTAAAGACTCGTTTAGTAAGTCCTACTTTCCTCTCCTCCGATTATCTCTTATTAAGAGGATTATATGTAATAAATTATATGTTGCATGACGCGTTGTCTACAGCATTAAGTAATTAACGTCGTTGCAGAAGAATTTGGTATAAAAAGTATTTTAGTTTTAAGGGATGTTTCGGAAATATTTTCAGTCCATTTACAAAACGTATGTTTCTTATTTAATAACCGGATATTTAATAACTGCCACTTTCTGTCTGCAAAACAGCGTGTAAATGTTATTTATTTTTTGAGTATGATAACACCTAGAAATTTCAGAAAATCGTCATTTCGAAAATCCTGCAGCCCCTGAAGAGCAGGATGTCCAGTCAGTGTGTGTTGCCAGTAATAGCATACGGTGCGGAAACGTGGACTTTTACTCCTGGTCTGTGTAAACCGGTAATGGTAATTTGGGGAGCCTACCAACCATCAACCTCCCAATAGGGGAACCGACGACATAGTCAGGCTCGCGGGGAGACCTAAGTGAGAGTCGTCGTGACTAAGAGGTTGGCCTTTATCCAGCAGTGGACGTCCTCCGGCTGATGACGATGTCAACCTAGAATCAATCCTTTGTGACCTGGTAATGCTGCCAACCTTCTGGGTAGCTATTTTCCCCGTTGATATCGATGCGGATGAGTTTTTGAGCAACCTACTGAATTACTTTTATTTTTATTAAATTGTTAGTAAATCTTTTAGCTTATTTTTTGGGATATATACATGAATATACAATATTGTATCCTAAGTTTATTGCATTAAGTATTATATTTCAAAATGGTGTCATAAAGTGGAATGGAAACGTACCTATGTTAATTTATATGTAAGTACAAATAGAGCATATAATAAATGGTCATCAGACATACACATAAAAATAATGTGATAATCTCAAAGGAAATCTCCGAAATTAATCCAACATAATCTCACTACATTTAATGGTCTACAGACAAAACGAAAAATACGTATGCAGGTGCCTTCATACGTAGTATATGTTATACAATGTTATGAAATACTTAGTTGTTATCACGAGTACCTTATCTGATTCTAGTAATGTTATTAAGTTCGAATAGGTATATTAAGCAACGATTTATTGTGTTATCACTACAGTGATCACGAGTTACATTAGCCATTAGTTACCTTCATGTTTCTCGGTAGCACCAATTGCTTACAACAAGGATAATTTTAGAATAATCATTTGCAAAGGAGAGGGGAATAACCAGTATCCTCACACCGCACATATGTTAATCATTTCGCTTAGACATTGAATTGCTAAACTGCAAAGGACTACGTAAAGACTGTTATAAATTATTAAACACCCGATCACTTGTAACTAACACTTATACTCACTATTGAAATGTCTTTGACATCTAATCTTGATGTCAGGTTTTCAAATATAACCAAAATCTATGGAGCTTCGATAAGTATTAGAAAAACATGTCTATGTACGTCCACAATTTATTAATAGTAATTTAAAATAATATCGACATGTAAATAAGTATAATTATTTAAAAACAGTTAAGCAAACTCTTGTTTTTTAGAATCGGAACTATTTATGAAGATGTAACAACGGATGTGTTGGGAAAAATCGGTTCTTGGCAATGGCTTGTGACGTTTATATCAACTTCGCACATGATGCTCGCTGTGTTTAATCAATACGAAGACATATTCCTTATCCGACCTTCAGAAATCTATTGTATATTGCCCAACGACGAAAATAAAATAAATTCAAGTCTATGTGTCGTAACTTTACAAAACAATGGGACCGAAGACTATAGATGTAATAAGTGGCATTTAAAATTTTTGTGGTTCATTTGGCTGAAAAAGACGGTAATTTTAATGGTTGCCTACGTTTTCTTTTGTATGTGAAACAGTATGGAAATTTTTGTGTTTGGTAAATTAAGGGTCTTATTTAAGAATACATCCTTTGCCTACTTACACATGTGTACTTATACATATATTAGACCTACCTAACACAGCTTCTTTGTTTTTGTGACAATACACAAAATCTTGTGAGATTTTGTGTATTGTATTCCTCTAAGGATTACGCACGAAGTATGTACAATCACTTTGGGATAATTAGGTTATTAGTTCCAATTGCTTAATTAATTAGGTAAGCTTAATATAATCTCTTCTAAAATTAAATATTTTCTTTCAGTGGCTCGTTTTTTGTGATCAAAAATTGAAACTGCTGTCAACGGCCATTATAAGCCGTTTCGGTTTAGTCTTTGGCTTCATCATATTTGGTTTAATCGCAGACAGGTAACCAGTTCCATTAGTAAATAGATCCATCGTTATTTTTAACGATTTGTTTGCGCATTATAATATGACTAATGCGCGTCATACATATTTATTTCAAGCTATGTTGAGACGAACAGTCACCTGATTGGTGATTTTTAAGGCTCGACTTGCGGTTTCAGGTTAATCTTGTTTAGGTACAATTTATTCTGGATTTTTCCTTCTAAAATTAATCTACTGTCAAAACAAGACAAATAACAGTGGTGAGCAAATTCCATTACTATGAATCCTCTAAATATAGTACATTTAATATATATACTTTTATATTCTCTAAATATTCTCAACATCTTTATTCATTTGAAACCTGGTTTTGTGAATATAACTTAATAACATCGAATAAAAAAAAGCATATCAATATACAATAAAAGAAAAATAAATAGATACCTTAGTGTAAAATACTCACGAAGGTCTAACCTCATTTGGAACCAAATAAAAACTCCAACAAAAAAAGAAATTCCTAGACATTTAAAAAAAGAACGTACTAAATGAGTTACGTACATACTTACCTAATTAAAAAGAAATGGAGCAGCAAGTCCTTAACATCCTAAAACTTGCAACATCTATTTATTAGACCATTTATGAACATTCCGAGATTCACACGTGCTAGTAGTAGGTAGCTACATAGGTTAGTTAAAGTCATTGACCCCCGTTATAATGTCAGTGAACAATCACGTTTATAAAATAAAAAACTAACTACATTTATAGAAGACACGTTATATAATAGCATTTATTTTGTACCTAAGTATCATATCCTTGAATAACATCTTCTGATTTATTTCATTGTGGGATCCAATTCAGTCATTTGCGTCCCTGGAACGCGTCGGAGTTGTGTAATTGTGTTTCGGTGTTTTCATGATTGTATCTACTCTAGATCCTGGCTTACAGGAGTTGCAGCTATTTTGGGAGATTGAGGCAGGCCCAAAAAATGTGTTATAAGAAGTTGTTTTTTATAAAGTTCATATAAAAAAAATATTTTTATCAATCATATCTGTCCAAAAAGAGACGTTCAAGCAGTGCGGAGCTTAATGCAAACTTTCGAGTTAAAAAGACATGGAAACTTCGAAACCCGGAACTATTTCATTTTAATAGTGAAACTAGGTTATACGCAATATGGAAAGGTATAAAAAGATAATTAACTACAAATTAACTGAAAATTATCTAAAAATAATTTAGATTACAGAGGGACAGTGTTATGTTTCTACTTATACGTAAAATTACTTGTATACCTACCTAACCTTGGTAGACTCTACACGCTGGTGCTGGCGAACGGGAGGTCGCATCAGGCGGCGGCCGACCTGATGTCACAAGCGGTTGCGACAGTCGTTGCAAGGATCCGGCAGTTGGGACTCGAGGTGGCGCTCCACAAATCCGAGGCCATGTGTTTCTATGGCCGTCGGAGCGCGCCACCTCCAGGTGGGTCCCAAATAACGGCAGGAGGAGTTACCATCGGCGTCGAGTCGGCGATGAAGTACCTGGGTCTCGTCCTCGACAGCCGATGGAACTTCACGGAGCATTTTCGTCGTTTGGCCCCTAAGTTGGAACGGTCTGGGGCCGCGGTCAAGCGGCTCCTTCCCAACCTCGGGGGGCCAAACGCCTCCTGCCGGAGGTTGTATATGGGGATTGTGCGATCCATGGCCCTCTACGGTGCCCCAGTGTGGGCGCCGGACTTGAAGCGGCGGCCGGCTCGTACGCTGGTCGCATCCCAGAGGGTCATGGCTATCCGAGTAATCCGCGGGTATCGCACGATCTCCGGGGAGGCGGCGAACCTCCTTGCCGGATCACCGCCGTGGGATCTAGAAGCGAAGGCGCTCGCGCGCGTCTACAGTTTGCGCGCAGACGCGCGTCGCCGGGGCGAAGATCCTCTGCCGCGCCAAATTAGTGCGTGGCGGAATGAGCTCCGGCGAGATCTCATGGCAGAGTGGAAACAACGACTGTCGCAACCGAGGGCCGGGCACGCTACCATAGCAGCGGTAAGACCCCTCTTTGAGGAGTGGCTTGAGAGACGCCATGGCGTCCTCACCTTCCGTCTGACGCAGGTGCTTACCGGGCACGGCAGCTTCGGTAAACGCCCGAGTGTCGTCATTGTGAGGACCACCTAGAGGATACGGTGGAGCATACGGTAGCGGTATGCCCTGCCTGGGCTGAGCACCGCCGTATCCTCAGGGAAGTGATCGGCGGCGGCGACCTCTCGCGCCCGGCCTTAGTCGAGGCCATGGTGCGGAGTGAGAGGAACTGGGACGCCGTCTCCTACTTTTGTGAAGCAATCATGCTCGCAAAGAGAGAGGCGGCCCGCGTGAGGGAGCAATCCTCCTCCTCACGCCCCAGCAGCCGCAACTGGCGACACTACGGGCGTCGGGGATCGAGGGACGATCTCCGGCCACCGTAAGCACGGGCCTGCGGTCGGCGAGTAAGGGCAGCTCGCCGCCCGACCAGAACCAGGCCCGAGCGTACGGCGCGTAGCGTTCCGCGCGCGCCTCAAAGAGCCATACGACCACCACAGACGGGGCCCTAAAGGGCTGATGTTCAGCCGGGGTTGCGGGGTAAGCGCAATGAGGTACCGCGACCTCGGCACAGAGCAGGAGAAGGAACAGGGGGGTTTTTAGTCAGTAAGAGTCTGACACTCCCTCCTGCCCGGCCTGGGCGGAAGAAGTCATTTGATGATTTTCCCCTCACAAAAAAAAAAAAACCTTGGTAGACTCTACATACTTGGTAGGTCCTACTTCAAAAAATACTTCTTATATATTCATACTCGTAATTAACCTATTAAATTCCCATTATTTCTAACTTGAAATTTTTCATCAGAAATGGCCGTATGATCCTAGAAATACTTTCGAATTCCCCAGTTAGCTGTAGTAGAAAAGAACATAATTATCTATTACAACAACACAGCTAGCACTAACAGGATGTTTATAATAATATACTTAGTTGTTTATTAATTTATAATTACTACGAAACAACACTATCATGTGACGGTACTTAGCGACCTATTACTTGGTGATAGCTCGCAGTCTCTCACACATCCGTGCTATGTAGCTGAACGGACAAGCTTATTAAAATAACTGTCTCTGATTAATAGTTTCCTTTCCTTAGTATCTAAGCTATAAGTACAGCGTTTATGTATACTTACTAAGTAAGTATACGAGACTTGTTAATGCTCACATACATACATTAAATAATATGAGTATAGATACTTAGTCGAAACGGTAGACAAGTTTTTTAATTCTGTTGGATTGATCGGCAAACGAGAATTTGGACACCCGTAACATCTTTTTTTTAGTGTAATAGATTGGCAAACGAGCAGACGGATTACCTGATGGTAAGCAATCAGCGCCCCCCAAGGACACCCGCAACGTAGTAGGTACGAGTGCGTTGCCGACATTTTAGGGATTAGGGATTTGGAGATTTAGGGGTTGAGAAGGGATTGGGGGTGGGGAAGGATTGGGCATCTAAAAGTTACAATCGTGTTTGCGTATCTTTTAGGAGGGTTTTAATGATTGAATGGGAGAAGAGAAACATTGGACGGTAACCTTACTCACTTACTCACACAGCGAAACACAACGTAAACATTGTTTCAAGGGGTTTTTTGTATAATGGCATGGTCTCGTTTCGTGCCGGCCCATTCGTGCCGAAGCATGGCTTTTCTACGCTTAAGTTTATAAATAAACCTTAGCGTAAGATTTAAAGAGAAAATCTTTAATTGGCAGGAAAAGGAAGCCTTATACCTTCTTAATTAGATCTAAACATAAAACTTTAGATACGCAATTAGGTAGATAGATACTTACTATTAATTGTAAGAGTAGATATATTTAAATCGAATACTGTTAAAGTTTAAACATACGTACAAACTTACTTTTCAAGAAATTAAGTTTAAATATTTTATACCTTAACTAGCTGCTCTGGCGCGGGTTTTACCCGCTGCTCAGCTCCATTTAATCGTAGATTGATGTTTTATAGCCTATAGCATTCAGGGTCATATTACTCAGGATCATATTGATATTACTCAGGATCACTTACATTGTAGTTACCTATCAGTGAAAGAATTTTGGCAATCCGATCAGCGGTTCCAAAGATTACCCGCTACCTACATACAAACTTACAAATTGTATCTCTTTATAATATTAGTATAGATATAGATAATATAACACCTAATAAGTAATAACTCTTTCATTAAAAAACTATTTATACTCTACAGTCGACGTACTAAGTACTACATCTACAGATTTGATATTTTACGTTTCTAACAAAAGCATTTTTTTCAATTTAGTCTAGACAGAGGAAACCGTGTAACATCGTGTTTCAAATACTTTCAAGTCATTTAATAAAACCTCATGAAACAATAGACTAAACTTATGTATTATTTGTTAATATTTACTAGACTTTCAAACAATGTAAGTAGGTAGAGACACCCGCAGGTCAAGTTACTCCACTTTCTTAAACTTCTGTAATAAATTCTCCACTTTATCTTTTCACAATAAAGTTAGTAATCTATTGACAATCTCTTATATGTATTTTATTGCAGTTTTGGTAGAAGGATGGCAATGATACTGGATGTGATCACGGAACTAATCCTCGGTTTGGTTATTACGTTCTGTGATTCAGAGGGATGGTTTCGTCTCGTTGTCTTTTTAAGGTCGCTACTAGGAAGCGCCAGTTTCTTTATGGGACTTATACTGGGTAAGTTATTAAAGTATAGTTTAGTATAACGCGTTTTAAGAATAGAGAGGTCAATCGAAAGTGTATGTCGGTATGACAAAAATAGAGTAAGTTCTTAAAACGTGCTTCAAAACGCCTTATAAGTATAAAACCGCTGTAAGTCTTGCGCAATCAATGGACGAGGGGAAATCAATTTATGTTTCATTTGTTTTTCACAAAATCGTGACCCCACAATAGGAGTTTCTTCTGGGTCACGGGTGTGTTCACAAACAAACAAGCTTACCTAATACATTACGCTAAAACCCAAAATCGGAACCAGGAGAAATTGCTTCGAATTCATGAGAGTAAAAATATACAATGCATGAGAATTTGAAACTCTTCCATCTTACGGTTCTTTTTATCAATATAAATTCCGTAACTTTTAAATACTTATGTTTATTCAACAACGTAGGTACGAAGACGTCTAATCTTTTTTTTTTTTGAAAGGGAAACTCATTAAATTATTTTTCCACCCCGGGTTGGGAAACAGGGAGTATCAAACTGGTAATGACTAAAATCCACCCCGTTCTTTTCTTCTTTATTGTCATGAAGAAAAAATCCTGGATTTTGTCTATGATATGATCGATGGCTAAGGTTACACATGTGCTCCAAGTGTTACACATAGACTTACGTGTCTATTACCTTTGTAACAAACTTTTAATTAATTGTGAAATCGATACGCACCTGTCTCCATCTACATAGGATCCTTATAAGTGTCATTGCAGTAAATAACAAGGTTAAATCCTGTTATTGAGAAACTTAAAATTATGAACGCTTAGTAAACCAGCATTAGACTTATCAACTGGTGAACTAGACATTCTTATTACCTAATATTACCTATAAAATTTAAAGTGGGGAAATTTGTTATGCTTTCACATAAAAACTAAGTAGGTACTTAACCAGTCGTGAAACTTTGTAGGTACGCATACTCTCGGAAGTACATAAGCATCATTAAAATAGGATAGGCACTCTTTATTTACCTATTTAATTTTTTGATGCGGTTTAAACCGCACGTCGTTATTTACTCACTTAGGTAGGTACTTATCTATTGTATAAATGTGCTGTTTGCCGGCGTCTTCGTTAATTAAAAAAAGCATTTTAGGTTATGTTAAAACCAAAACATTTTATCGATCAATCAAATAATCGCAGACAGTCTAACTTTGAAATTAAGTACATCTAGTTTAATCGTCCTTGACATTATTAAGCCTTTCATAGACCTAGTTCATAAAACCAGTTTAAGAGTTATAACAATTTTATTGTGTAATATCTTTCATTCAAATACATACACGCTTTGTCTATTGATACCGTCGATGCAAAGAATGAACTATAATTTCTCTTCTAGGTAAACTTAGTATACGTAGAATGTAACAAACGCTTTTTGTGAGGGGATAAACATCATACGATTATCTCGCCCAGGGTCGGGCGGGAGTGTCAGACTCTTACTGACTAAAACGCCCCCGTTCTTTCTCCTGTGGACTCTTCCTTCTCTGTGGGCCGAGGCCGCAGCGACTCATTACGCTTATCCGGAACCCTGGCTGAACACCAGCGTTATAGGGCCCCGTCTGTGGTGATCTATTGGCTCTTTCAGGCGCAAGCTCGAGTCTGGTTCCCTTACTCGCCGGCCGCGGACCCGCGCTTACGGTGTCCGAAAATCGTCTCTCGATCCCCGACGCCTGGAGTGTCGCCTACTGCGGTGGCAGGGGTGTGAAGAGGGTAGCTCTCCCACGCGGTTCGCTTTCTTCTTTGCGAGCATAACTACTTCATAGAAAGGGGAGACGGCGTCCCAGTTTCTCTCACTCCACTCCATGGCGAAAGGTCGCCGCCGCCGATCACTACCCTGAGGACACGGCGGTGCAAGCAGGGCAAGCAGGGCACATAGATCCGAAACAGGATGGTTCCTGTTCAGCTGCAGTTCAGTTGCAGTTGCAGTTTGCCCGGTAAGCACCTGCGTCAGGCGGAAGGTGAGAACGCCGTGACGTCTCTCAAGCCACTCCTCAAAGAGGGATGTAAAAAACGATTCTGCAACGGTTCTCCGACAGTCGTTTCTTCTTTGGACTGTTCACCGACAGGACGTTTCGTTTTTGAGACATTCGTCGATAGAACGTTTCACCTATGAATGTTTCGCCGACAGAATGGTTGGCATTTGTTAGTTTCGACGACAGGACTTTTCAACTATGGAATATTCACTATTAATCTACAAAGCCACCAAAAAGCTACTAGCTTGCTACCTAGTTACCTATGTCATCCAGTTTCCAGAGCCTTCTCTTTACGATCTCATCTGTAACTTGCAAATGTAATTTCTAAGCAAAGCTCAACCCTTTTCTAAGTAGGTTTAGAGTTCTCCGTATTCAGTTGAGTACCTAAGTATAAATCGTAACAAATAAGCTAAGCTCACTTTGTAGGTAAAACGTAACTTTATTTATAGTACCTACCTACCTTCATCCAAAAATAACAATAAGATTTGCATCTCGTAGGCAGGAAGATAGGTACTAATGCAATATTTGAAAAGACAGAACATTTGATTAGGTAATAATTTTACTACACAAATAGTAATTTTGCTCGTGTGTGTAATCAATCAGCAATCGGAACAATACTTCAATTGCACGATTCATTATGGTACACCAAAATAATTCAAGGACATGATAAATAATCTTAAAATGAAATAAGTAGGTATCCTTATCACAAGATAGCAATCGATTGCAGACAACCTTATTTTACACTTAAGAAACATTTGCAAGAGAAAGTTATCTTTGTAGGTATTAGTTTAGATTATAAGCATACCTAGGTACCTACCTTCCTAATTACCTACCCAATAAACCGTATATGATAAAGTATACGGTTATTTAAAGTATGATAAATGCAAATGCAGCTTATTCGTGAATGATTGAATGACTATTCCATCTAAGTACTTATAGGAACTTCATAAAGTTCATTTAATTCTTGAAAAAAATCCAGGTTCTCTTATTTATTGCAAGCTACATAATATGTAGGTATGTACAAACTTTGTAGCTCCAGCTACCTTTTGAACCGTACTTTCAGAAATAAGTGTTGGTAATGTTGAATGAAGGTGTGGAAATACCATAATCTAATTTAAAAGACCTTTTTAGTTTGCTAATACCCACCCAGTCGTGGCTATGGCGATTTTGGACATATTTGGTTAAACATCCATTAAAATTTCTTTAATGTTGTTTTCCAGTTTGTGAAATAGCGAGCAACAGTTGGCGTTCTTGGCTATGTGTTATAGTGATGTCTCCAAGACTTTTGTCATTAGCATGCCTAGTCCCCATAGCCAACAGTGCACAAAACACAGAAACATTCAGCTTTATCTCTTGCATTTACGCAGTTATATGTATGACAAGCCTCGTGAGGTAATAACAGACGTTATTATTTTCCTTGTAAACCATTATTAGCATTTTAAGTAGAAAATAAGATAATTCATATCTGTTTCCTAATACAAATATAGCGACACACAGCAGTGAGTGAGTCGTTTGATGAAGCTCCAAAAGATTGATTTAAATTAGCCCTATCCGATGCCGAAAAAAATCAATTAACAATTCAGTAATCTGAAATTCATATTTCATGTTAATTGGGTAGTTTCCTAGGTCAAAAATAAATTAATTCCATGTTTCAATACAATAAAATATTGAAAAATAACTATACTTTTATTCATCGATCGATCGATACACCATGTTTTAGATTTTTTTAGCTAATTATTGTGAAATAAGTAAGCTATTTGACGCAAAAATGTTATGACGTCATAGCTCAGTTTTTCATACAAATTTCATAGAAAAGTATCGTTTTTGACGTTTGGATAAAAGTATTGAATTTGACTAGTTGGAAACTACCGTATTGCAAAGAAATCGAATGTCTTACAACATACTTACCAACATTGATCGTTTCGTTTTTCGTACGTAGGTATTAAGAAATGCATAACTATGTAGATGGTCTCAATGTATCGAAATGAACACTGCTAACACTTTCAGGTGGGGTACCGAGTCACCTCAGTGGTTGTTGCATAACAGGAAAATTCACGTAGCAGAACTAATTCTAATAAAAGCTGCAAAAACAAACGGCATCAAACTTTGCCAGGAATTCAAGATAAGGCCTGTTAACCACAGAGTACGTCTGTAAGTTTATACTAAGTAATTAGTCTCAGATATATACCTAATATTTGTTATTACAATAGTCTTACGTAACGTTACATCTTGTTACAGGCGTATGACACGCTGGACGAAGCCAACACATGCATTGGAATGTTATCAATCCATAACATAAGAGTTCTATTTTTTGCATCTGTTTCATTTTGGATGCTGTACTATTTTATATGGAGCTCAGTTTATGTAAGATTATATAGTGAACAGGATGCCGAATATTCCTTGTGGAGAGTATTATGCTTTGTCACTATACTAGGGTGCCTGACAAAATATTCATCTGCAAAGTTGACGTTGCGATACTTACTGATGAGTAATATTTTAATAACAGGCGTTTTTACTGCGGGCAGTACGTATACGTATAAGGTGAGATCTTATGAGAATACTTAGTAGGTACCTAATAGTAGTTGTATAGTATCTAACTTTTTTAATGGAGTAATGCGGCAACTGTACGCGCCGATCACCCAATTGCTAGCAATCAGCTCCACTTAGAACACCAGTGAAGTTGAAAGTACCGATATTTTTTGCGTTAGGGATTAGAGGGATGCGGAATTGAGGTAGGGATCATCAACATGGTAAATTACAACGTAGGTAACGTTTTGTTTCACGCCGGTTTTCTAAGAGGCCGTAGTATCACTCCAATCGAGCCGGCCCAATCGTGTCAAAGCAAAGGGCTATGGCAATATTCGAAAAAAATAGAGTTCCGAACTCGTATTTATTTCCCGAATATTTTTTAGATCTGCCAGTCGTAAAAATCATTGCCAAAAGTAGCAAATAGTTGGTATAGCTTGGATAGGTATGCACTAATCAAAGGCCTGCAAACATAACGTTAGACTGTGCATTAACTCCTAATGGATTGTAAAGAGCAATTACTACTTCCAGCTATTTGCCTAGTCACAACACATTTATACTCACTTTTCTTGACTGGGAAACTCATCATGTGACTTTTCCCGTACTGTGTGGGGTGAGAGGCAGTGTCACACTACTAACTTAAAGCCACCCCATTCCGTTCCGTTGCATCTGCAACCAGTAGGCCCTTGTGGACTATAACTACGTTTGGAATATAAGCCTACAATTACCTATACTTAGATGAAAATGAACAAACACTCATTATTATATACTTCCAAGCGATTCAATCAAACTTTTCTCACTTTTCAATCGAGACAGACGAATCCACGTTATAGTTGAGCCTACCTACAGATATGTAGACTAACATAATTACCCCTTTTTACTTTGCAGAGTACCGTTAGCAGCATTCTATCGTCTATCGCATTAAGCTCAGGGCTCGTTGCACACGCCTTGGTATTAAACATAACACCTCGTCTTTTTGCTACTAACATAAGAGCCACGGCAGTTGGTTTCTGTCATGCTACCGGCCAAATAGGGTCTATAATCAGTTACCTTCTTTTTCTGTTCCATCCAATAAGCAATACAGTAATCATGGTAATAGAGTTAGGAGTAACGCTGATCATTATTGGACTACTATTCATATTTCCCGATGTGGACCAGCGGGAATTACCTGACGTTATGAAAGATATGGATTATTTCTCAGAGTAAGTGGTATCTTAAGTTAATAAGCAGAAATTATTTCTGAGATTTTCGGCCTTGTATCGAAACAATAAATTTAATTTTAATAGGTAGGTACTTCAATTTAAATAGTTTATGCTTTTCTCTATTACCTAACGGTCGTGCAAAATAAATCGTTATCAGCTATGTTGTTAGTAAATTATTACACGTTTAATGTACATGATTTTTTAATAATAAATAACAATGCATGAACAAAATAATAAAGCATATTTCGTGATCCATGTTATCAGTAACTATACTTATAAAATTTTAAATATAAATTTTATTTGTTATAGGTTATCAAAACCACTACGATGGGTTACCCAAAAGACAAATTCACCATCTTTAGAGGAGATGGAAATGAGAGTTTATTCTTTTGGCAGCGATGGCCGTCGACCTTCAACCTCCAATGTCTCTGAAGTCTCAGCACCTGCTCAGCAAATAGGTTTTATCAGACTATCTAGAGCTTTCATCAACTACGTACGTCGAAAGTGTTGCACAAAAATAAACTCAAACATAAGTTAAAATATTAAAATTTATTATTCAGTAACTTAACAACATTAAAATGTACATTGCAATTACATTTCATTTCTTAATTGTAATCATCGTGTCCATTTGCATAAATTAATAAAATAAAATAGGAAACATTTGAGGATTATGATATTAATAAACACTAAAGGCATAAAGATATTTAAAATATGGTAAATATTTTTTAAGTAAGTATACATAAAAAGTTTTTCGAGATAACATTTTATCTATATGCTACAGCAATACATAACTGCCAGTTACACACGAGTTCATATTCGTGATTATCATTTATCACTCATGTATGAATAAAAATAAATATTACTTTCACATAGGCGAAACGTGCTATTTAAAACAATCACATTCAAATAAATACATATTTTAAACAGGAAAAATAATACTAATCCAATTACATAAAGTTATTGGTACACTAAAGCCTGCTAGGCACAGCGCCGTTGAATATTAATGTGGAATATCTAAATATTGCACATAGATACTTGCAAAACGGTTGCACATAATTATTTTTAAACATCCACTTCCTAGTTATACTCAGTCAACGTACGAAATAGACGGTTCTGTTCATAGCAAGCTTTACAAAATGTTAGCTTATAAGGATGCGATAAGATGGAGGCTATCCTTTGTAGCTGCTCGCTGATTTGGCAGAGAACCGCATGTAGTTAGTACCGAACGTAAACATGACACGGCTTCATAAGCACGCGTGTCATTAGTTTGTATGCATTTAGTTAACAGGAGACAACGACATACAATTAAACACATTGAATACACAATCTTGCTCAGCTTGATTCAAATTGGTTCGACTGATAACTGCCCAAGTTTCGTTATTTCAATATTGTTATAATAATGAGATGAAATCCTCAACTAAGACTTATCGCCTCACACATATAAAATGATAATTTAATTTAATGATTCTAAAAGTTCGCTTTTGTAGTTCCAAACTGCTAGTGTAGCAAACCGCGTGAGCAAATAACGTATAAAATATAATTTTAATTTAATATTATACAAATGCATAATTATAAAGAATAAAATAGGCAGTAATTTATAAACATTTAATTAAGTAAAGTAATCTTAAATCGAGGTAGGAACACTAAATTTAATTTATAAAAGAATAATTTAGAGGGCATGTTGTGTATGCTCAAATATAAAGCATATAAATAAACTACTCACATGGAACATTCACATGAAATTTTATATGTATTCATGTTTAGGTACATCGTTATACATATATTTCGAGAAAACTGATTAAATAACTAAACATAATTTGCAACAACAAATACAGAATCATTTATATAATATTTGGTAAAATACTATCTACAATATTGTACCTTGGGATTCAACTTTTCTTTACACCCTGTATATGTTTTCATTCCGATCAAGTCCCTCTTTATCAAACTACGTCCACACATTATTATATTAATATTATTATTTTTTAATTATTATATTTTAGTAGTCATTCATTCTGTAAACTAATTAAAATTACACATAGAATAAAAATAAAATTGAATTACAATAATAAATATATAATTCTAGAAAGTAGCAGTAGTCAACGTTGTTTTTTTCTTAATTTTCAATTTGATAATTTTATTCATGCTGATAACAGTCTGTCTGTTTTGAACAGGGTAACTGGTCTTTATTTATATGTAACTAAAATGTACATGGAGATAAGTCCATGTGTGCAATTATTTAGAATATATAACGACTTGATAAGTTAATTGTTACGACAACATCGAGACCGCTAAACGAATGTGCATTCGTAGTTTATTGCAAAGATAAATGTTTCGTCTGTACTTTAAAAACACAATTACCTAATATCAAAACATTCCTAAAATGTCAAATAAAATATAATTCAGATTAAAACGTAACAGTACCATATTAGTCTATGTTTATTTAATAATAAAGTATTATTATCTATGCATTAAGGCTCGGGAAGACGAAGGACTTTTGTCAGCTGTGCACAAAAATCAACTGAAGATTGTGAAAACAAACCACAGACTATTTGTCATCACTGCATCAAGAGATACTTTTTTTTTAAATGTCAATATTATATTTTACGGATTACGAGCAAGTAGCTCGATTCGTTTCGACCTAGATGGAGCTCATAGTCATAAGATAATTCAGGAAGAGGACTAAGATGTAAAAAGTAAGATGTAAGAAAAGAGTAGGTATGTAGCATTCCTGTGACATATTTGACATCAGACAGACAAAAGAACCCCGTCTTTACGCCTTAATAAAAGTCATAACTATAGATAAATTTCTAAAATGATTTAATTGTTTTAAAACTTTAACAATGATTATGAATTTTATATCACAGAGCTTTTGGATGACGATATAGAACTTATGTAGGTGATTATATCTATTCACGTTATATAAATTGACCTTTTAAAGGTAAAACAGGAACTGACCTCGCAAAAATATAAACTTGTTTGAAAATACGCAGTAATACGCATTTTGATAAATTATGTTTCAAATGTTAACTCTATTACTTACAGGAAAATTTTATTAATGGCATCACGAATTGAATATGGTAAATATGACAAATACGATGTATTATTTGTCACATATCGTGACAAATTATACAAGTGAACGTTAGTTATAATCTTATTAAGAAATGTCTGAATGAAGAGATTCTCATTATAAAGAGCTTCTTACAGAAACCTTTTTTATGCGATAGGTCGGCAAACGAGCATACGGGTTACCTGATGGTAAGTATTTGGCGCCGCAACACCAGAGAGAGAGATACGAGTGCATGGCCGGCCTTTTTGGGATTAGAGAGATTTAGGGATTGGGGCGAAAGGACTGGGCCGGTAACCTGACTAACACGGCGAAACACAACGCTGTGGTTGTTTCACGGAAGTTTCTATGAGGCCGTGGTTCACGCAGGTCGAGCCGACCTAGCTACAATACCTTCGTGTCTGAAAAATCTTTTTATATTATGTATAATGGTATTGGCGATTTTTTTATTTTGTTAACCAATCTCAACTACTACGTGAATCATTTCTATAAAATACTTCATACATTAGTTTCCATAATTTCAGTAAGTAAGTACCAAGACTGTGTGTGTTTGTTGCGATAAATTATTTATTACTATTTTGTATTTCAAATGTCATAAGCAGTAGCTAATAATCTTTGTGTCCGTTCTTATCTGCGCCTTATAAACGACTATGAAAATTAATAAGAACAAAGATTTTACTATACAAGTGGTATTTAAATGAAAACAACGAATCTTTTAATGTGATTTTTTATCCAACTATTTTGATTATCAATAACGAAGAATGACTTTATGTCGAAAAAAAGGTCATAAATGTTACGACCATACAAATAAATTAATAAAAGAAAATTTTACGGTAAAAAAACAATTGCCATAACGTCTATCATAATAATGTTCAAATATTACGTTACAAAACATTAATATCACTATCAATATTTTAAAGGTTTTGTCTGTTCTCTTGTTACACACATTTCTTGTTACTATTATTATCAAAATTCCGAAACTGATTGGTCAAATCTATGCCAAGTTTTTAATTGGTCAAGTCGTCATGTTTGGGTGCAGCCTATGGATTTAAAGTCACTTTACAAATTAAATGATAAAACAGTAAGGTATTTGTAAAATTTAGCAAAACCTATAACATCACTGACAAATTCAGGAGACTATCACTAATTTAAAATAAACATTAAGGTAATCTATTTAAACATTTTAAAACTAAACTAGGAACTTCGAACGGTAACAATGTAACTGCAAAATGTACATAGCATACATATTATGCGATTTGTTTAGTTTTAAATGCCTTCATAAACTTTTCAAGCTTCTTACAACTAATCAAGCATACGTAATTAACAATAACTTATGAGAATAAAGTCTATTTCATTTTTTCAACTGCACATCAACATGTAAATGTCTGGAAATGCGTGTTGTGCGCGTTCTCTAACACTACAGATTAACTTATGAGCCAATAAGGCTATTTTCACTTTGGTGTAAAAAATTGACGAAAATAACACGATAGTCGAAACTCGTGACAAATTTTCTCTGCTCTTTGTAACAAGAATATCTACTCGATATTATATACCAAATAGATTCCACTACTTACATAGGCTGATGCAACAACTACCTTTTTAAACGGTCTTTTCTACGAGAAGTTTGCAAAATCTTGAGTCCATTTTCTTTATTATTTTTCGGCCAGTTGATAATGCTTTTAAGCAAAGTTTCCTTACATCAAACTACGTTATAAATTCGTCTGTTGGTTTGCATCTCCATTACTAAGTAACAGGCTCGGCGATTTTTCTGCAATCAACATAAAATGACATTTATAAAACACAAAAAAAGTAAAAGTAAGGCCGAGAACAAACAAGTTGCGTATTAGAATAAATAAAGCTGGTTTTTGCACTCACCTATATGTACAGAAACTGGACGAACAGCGATACCATTTGTATTAATTGATTCTTCGTTTGAGGGAACTCGTTGTAAACGAATAGCAAACATTAGAGTTGCGCCGACCAGAGGCGATATGCCAGCGAGAACGAAAGGCAAAGTGTATGATTTATTGATACTGTAAATATAGCCAGCTATGGGTGGTCCGACTGATAATGGAGCAGCAGCAAGTCCTAACATACAGCCTATTGCCTGCGCCGCGTAAGCACCGCCGCACAACTCAAATGCTATGGGTCCGATTAACGCAATAAATGCGCCATCGAATATTCCCATACCTAACGCAATCGCTACCAGTATACCAAACTTGTTAACAAATGGCAAAATTATCGTCAAGACCCCAATGACGTAGAAAGAAATCTGCTGTAACAAGATTCTATCAACACCAGGTTTATCAGCCAGGAAGCCAAAAATTAATCTTCCGAGACCTGATGTAACAGCAATGCACTGCAAGGGGAGATTGGTATTGACATCAACAAAATTGTTCTCGATGAACTTTTTGATATGCACGTAAGGAACAAAATATCCAAAGAGTGCAACGGGCATGGATAAAGCCCAAAATCTATACTTCTTATTCTTCCAGATTTGAATGTTTACAATTGATTTCAACAAAGATTTCCAGCTGTCGTCTTCCCTTGACGCTTTCGTTACCATAGATGGAGCTGGTTTGAAAATAAAACCACATACTGCTGTACCTAATGTAAAGACAGCTAAGAGCCTAAGTAACCAATCTAATCCATGGTGCAATATCATATATTCCATTAGGGGTGGCATAATCACAGTAAAAATAGAACTACCTACGGTGACAACTCCGTTAACTAAACCTAAATGTTTTTTGAAATAATGACCAAGAATAGCCAAAGAGGGAGTGTAGGCAAAAGATGCACCTAATCCATACATTATGCCATAGGTGAAATAGAGCACTCCTACATTGTATACGAAAAAGGAAGATAAAAGTAATGCAGCTGTTGCAATCGTGCCACCTAAGACTGCGGTTAAACGGATACCTAACACGCCAGTCAATACACCAGACAGTGGCGAAAGGAAAAACGTAGTCCCCATGGTAAGAGCGCCCACCAAAGCTGTAAAAGAAAAGTGCCTTGTTAATTAAACATCGAAAGTATATTAATATTAATAACAGACAAAGATTATTACGGATCTGCTATCAGTGAAATTTAGATATCCAAATCGACAATATTTTTTTAAAAGGCGACTACTACCATTAAACTTAACGTATTTGGTTGATAGTTAAATGTACGAGCTAAATCAATTTGTAGTGAAGTTAAAAACTCAATTTTGCGCAGTAAAATATTATGCCAATTAAAATCGTGCGTAAAATTTTAACAGCATCGGATGGAGAATGGACTATGGCGCACTATTAACTTCGGCTCGTAGGTACTAGACTAGTTTTTCTGTTTGATCTTCTTTAACAGCTTGATTGGCCCGATTACACAATTGGCTACAATTTGCAACGTCTTCAATTATTCACATCACAACATAAATCTAGAAACTGACCAAGCGCCTGACCACATTTCCTCGAAACGGATCTCACCTATCACTTGAAATTAGGACATGTTAGTGTGGTGTTCAGTTTATTACATAACGTAATTTATTTTGATATTATTAATTAAAATTATGTATTCTTGAGCTAAATTTCTTTTTGTTAATAAGTTAAACTTTGTTTTCATTAATGGATACTGATAAATCTGGAAAACAATGTGTTATTTATTATCTCCTCATTTTGTTGAATGTTTCATTTTACTAAAGATATGATTCGGGGTAATCTCTGTGCCCAGGGCAGAGGTTAGCAACCGGCAGCGAGTGTACAATACAATAAGTACTACAACAGCCAATTCCCCTTAATTCAATCAACATCACCGCAACGTTCGTTTGCGTGTTGGTAATGAAGGAAAACCTAGTTATCAACGACTACTCCAGAATCCAGAATTCGGTCAGTCAACTATTTTACTTGGTTGATAGAATAAGCAGTACCTAATATTTCATGTTCCAGTGAATGAAGTATTTTTCTAACTCTTAGTTTTCCTTATCAAGCAATATATCTTATTCACACTCGGCAAACAAATTAAAATGAAATGATTAATAGAATGATGATAATTAATCCGATTTGCGGGTTTTATGATGATGGTGAATTAACGGAAAATATTAAGATTTGTTACCACCATCTGGCGTAAATTTAATTTCGACATCATATATTGTATGAAACTTAGATAAATATGTAGATCTAAATGATCCTTAGTGAGGAAAAGATTAGATTACAAGTCGATATTATCATGAGACGATGATGGAGTGCTTCTAAATCTAGAATTCTGGATAAATGCGTCGAACTGGTACAAATCTACGCGTGTGTTCATCAGTCAACATGGAGTCAAAAATCTAAATATAACAAGCAGTCAAAGTTGACAAGTGACACACAATGTCTCGTAATCTAATCGGGTCATCACCACACCAGTCGCAGTACGCGGGATACGATACTTTTGTCTGCACAAGCTTTGTGTACTTTGCGTGAAGCGATGGACCGATATAAAAATAATAACAATGGGAACTTTGATTTTATTACGTTATGATTGTGGATTAATTCATATAAAGTACTTATTCTAAATTTATAGTATCTTACAGTATTTCAATTAATACAACATCAGGTACCACTATTATGATCAGAAATTGATAGTAAAAAAATATTTTAACTGTGTTTAACGGCGTACCTAGTAACTTACTTAATTTTTAATTATGCTACAATTAATTTTCCAATGGAAATTCGGTTGATTTTAATCATTGATGTCGTTAAAATTTATTCTCTTCAGAAATCTGTCGTTTTATTATTGTTCTGCGACATGTTCCGTCGTAATTAATATTCATAGGTATTCTTTGAATAGGACCCTATCATTATGTAAGTATAGCGGCAATGAATAGTATGTGGGACCTGCTAATATAACTGTGCTATTGATTTGGGTAAGCGGTTAAATTATTGCAATGACGACGCGTCAAAAGAATGATGAAATTGAATGTAATGAAGTGATGGCCTTCGATGCGGGCGCCAGCCGTCCCGCCCGCCACGTGCGCTCCGCTTGGCGCCACATGACAATCTGGCCTATTAACTATCAAGTACCTATCGGAGTTGTGTTTCAGGTGAAACACTAGATTTACATATCAAAACAAGCTACTATCGAATTCAAGTATTTGCGTAAAATGTAAATAATGAATTATAACGTCGATATTATGTACATGTTATACAACAATAGCTGTTTTATGTCTTTTTCTTGTCCATTATTGTATTTACTTTAGATATAATGGTAATATTGTCAGTAAGTAACCAGGTAAATAAAAAAAAATGCCTACAATTTCGATGTTGTAATGAACAACATAAATTGCAGTGACCCATTTGATCAATTCTATCTGTCGGCAAAATAAATTATTTCTGATTAATTAAGGAAGTAATTGATAGGATAAGAGTTACAAGACTGCTTGATTATACTTTAATAAAGTCAGCTGTCTAATTTACATTCAGGATATTTTCAATTTACTTCTGTGTTAGGTACTTGGAAGGTTCATTTCCCTTCCTATAGCCTGACCTAAAAACTAAGTAAGCAATGATTCATTTTTTATCAAACGTGTAAATATTGATTGATAAAAGGTTGTTATTTGATACAAAAATATTGATTTCCTGGTAAAACATGAATATGGGTTAAACCAAGAATGAGTACCTATCCTATCTACCGTGGTATGAAAATAACGACATGCCAATGTTTATCAGTTTCCTAATGACTATTTCAACAAGAAGTAAAATGTAGCCACTTATATTAAAGTTAAGATTATTTCCTTAATTTATAATGAATTTAATTCCTAAATAAAAATTAAGTGGTAAATCACTTTCTTTTGTGTAAGATAAATCACAGTATGTATGTATACTACACATTATGAATGTATAATTAATTCCATTATTTAAACTTGGAAACCATATTTATAGAACTTTAGATTATCAAAATAAATTAATTAATTAAAGTGCATACAATCCATCCAATATTGTTACATGATAGTTATTGTAAATTTTACTGTACTGTAGGTATATTTGTACAGATAGGTACCAGTAATGATAACCCTTCAAGTCCTCAGCAGAACCACATACATAATTAATGTGATAAGAGTCTATTGAAATGCAGATGTTTTATGTTCTGATTTTATAAAGAGCATAAATATTTTTTAGGTCACTGTTTACATTATTATGTGAGTTTAAATCATAAGGACTCCATTATAATGGGATTCTTCCCACACCAAAGAGGAAATTGTAAATTTAAGTAGGTACCTATTTAAATACCTACTTTGTAAAATTTCAGAAAAGTTGTAGCAGGTTTCATTAAACTGATCTGTATTTATTAGAATTAATGGAGTATTTTTTTTTTGCAAATTGTTAAACAATAAGAGTGCTATTAAGTTTTTTTAATAAATTAGAAAAACCTTTAATGAGAATTGGAATATTAGAAAATGTCTGTCCAGGAATATCATACAATGTATACATACTTATTAGTTACGGTTAATAAGCTTAGGTATGCAAGAACGATATGAAATTCGACACAGCGTTTCGAATGATGAAACACATAAACTAGCAGAGTAAGAAAAATAAATACTTATAAAATTACTTACCAGCACGACTTTCTGAGTTAGAGATTCCTTCATTTTTCAAATGATTTTCAAGGACTGTGTATATGACACTGTAAGAATTAATTACGCCGAAAAAAAGGCCATTTGTAAGGAACGATGCAACCATGACCGAGTATGCTCGTACACCTCCATCAGGAGGATCTTTGAGGTCTTCACTTTTTAATTTTCCGTTGGTCTCAACTGCGTTCCTTGCTTTGAGCAAATCTGAACTTTCTTTCGGCTCCGTATCCATCTTGCAGTTATATAAATTGACAGACTTGTAAATACATACGATTCTGCTTCATAAGCACATGGTGCTCTTCTTAGTTTATTACTTTTTTAAAGGCTCGCACTATAATGCTTATTTAAGTCTCATCGAATATATTAATCAATTATTTAAATTACGTTACTCGTTTGTTATTTCATTTAACGATTCTTATCTTAGAATATTATCGTAATATTTAAACTTTCAACAAACCCTACAACCTAAACAACAGGCGTTCGTTGACTGATCCTGTTGTGACTTTTTAGTTGACTTTTCACATCATAGACAGCTGACACTGTTGATATTCGAATATGACAGATACTTTTTACTTGCTTTGGATACTAACCATTTGATTCTTGTCAAAAGATCAAAGTGGAAAATATCAACATCATACCAACTTATTATATATTTACGCTACACACAGTGTAAAATACGACTTTTGCTTGCATCAGTAAAATATATTAATGCTATGCTCAGCTAGTTAGGTCAGGTACCTATAGCCGTTAAAAGTGCACAAAATGTAAGTAAGAATTTCTTCAAGATGGTGGTATGATTTTTAGCAAATTAACTGCCTTACAAAACAGACGACCTGCTTTTCACAATCTACTTTAATATCTTTGTTACAGGTACCATCATATCGCATTAAATATAACTTTCAAAGATTGCGACATACACAAGCAAATGTTTGATATTTGCCATTTATAACTTCCATAAGAAAGGCAGCAACATTTAAAATACTTACTATAAATAATTATATCAAAATACTGTGAACGGGTACTTCCTTGGTCTAGTCGACTAGGTACCTACTCGGTTCATTAAAATTAGAAAGCTAACCATATGATACGTACTTATAAAATCATAGGCTCTTACTCCAGTCGATGCAAATGTGGGCTCCTAACTCCTCCTAAACCACAACGGCAATACACATTTTAAACAAAGACAGAAATAAAGGAGCACATACTACTTACAATATGGTAAAAAGTTCTGAACCTTTTAGATTACTAATCTTCTGGATATCCCATTTTGAAATCTTCACAATTGGGCAACAAGGGCAAAACTGAGTGTTGTTGGTAAGCAGGGTTGATTTTTGTTGCGCTCTTACCGACTTATCAAATCATTCCCGTGTGGTCTATCTAACTATAAAGAATCTATCAAGAAAACATGTACAACCATGTAGAATTTTAAAATAATAATAAAAAATCAAAAGCAGTTATCTTTTTATTTGAAGTAATCTAACATTAGATGTTTTATATACAAACTTAGAAAACAAATACGAGCTTATTGCATGTGAAACACGGAATAATGCCCTGTCTATAATATTTAGGCTCAATTAGTTAAACATTGTTGAACTTTGCAATTTTATGGTATTCACTACCTTCTCTCTAAGACAAAACAACACATTTTTTCAATACCAAAAATAAATATGACAGTTCAACTCTTGGGTAAAAATAGCAAATATTAGACTATCTGAAGCATAAGGCAAAGGATATGTAAAAAAACATTTTAATGTAATAGCAGTGTAAAAGATGTTGAGCAGCCTAGTAACTACATACATTAATATGGACATGTTTTGTTCATCAAAATCTTTCCAAGGTAAGCAAATATGTTTTAACAAACATAAGAAATATTTCCATATATCTCCACAAATTGTTGACAATGCCATATTAGCTAATTTGATGAAAACTTTTGATCCATTATAGATATAGAAAAATATCTCATTTTGTTGGTTGTATTTAAACATTTGCATATTTTAATGTTAGTGTAAAGAAGAATTTTTAAAGCAATACCTATCCTAAACACAATGTTTAGATATTATTATTATTTCACACAGTGGATACATAGCAAAGGAAGACAGTATGAGTGGCCTTTTATATCAGAAACATTCAAAATATATCAGAAATTTAATACATTACAATATAAATTATTGAGTGCAAAATGCTATAGGTGTACTGGTGTTATTGTAAAACATTAATTAACTGGATGCTTTGGCAGCTTGGCGCCTCTTCACATCCCAGTTGTAAACTCTTGCCATATTTACTTCTGTTGTTGTCCATTGATCTCTGTAACATTGGAAGTGACATTGTATCACTATATGTTTTTAATCTATCTACATACATCTAGTGGAAAGGTAAGGAAATTCATCAGTCAATAGATGATGATTACATTTCGAACTATACATACTTAACCCAAAATATGTAATTAAATTTATTAACACCTATTATATTTAATTACTAAGTTTAGCCAATAGTAGCAGCAGATACACAGAGCTACGGAATATATTAAACTGTTGGCAATTGGTTCAAAGCTCTAAGTTACTTTAAGGCAGTGAATAAATAAATAACAATTACCTTAAGAAATCTAAATCATGCTCAACACACGCTAGATTCTTCTTAGCAGTAGCCATATTTGATGATAGAAGATTCTCTGCATCTTCTAGAGTATATTCTAACATTACATTAGCGCCAAGCCACAAGTATACCTTTTCAGTTGGTGGTACATTTGCCTGGAATATTGTAAACAAAGAAATCAAAATACAATCAGTTCAGTTGGCTGGGTGGCACTGCAGCAAAACACATGTTCATGAATTAAGAGTACTACTGACACTACTTTTTCGCAATGGCTTTGTCTGCAGAACTATGGTAAATAGCTACAAACACACACTTCTTTCCTCCAGAATGATGACTACTTTCTTCCCTTTGATCTATCTCTGCGGCAAATTTAATTTGAACCTATACAGTAGTTTTATTGTATAAGAGTATAAACCTTACATTTATTATATTACCTAGTATGATATGAGCCAATAATTTTATTTATATCAAAATACACTTAAATTATGAATATTTATATGTTTATAATGTCCATTACCTTCACAAATACTTGATCACTGAGTAGAAACTCTGTTTGCATTTCCTCTTTTTGGGTTTTAAGTTTTTCAATCATTTCCAGAGAACGAGCTAGATCAGGTATCTGTTGCCTAAGTCGCCTTCGTTTTGTTGCCAGTGACATTTCCATGTGTTTATATTTTGCATGTTGCTCATCTAGACTCTTTAAAACTTTGTCCACACCACCAGCATTTTCTGGCTTGTTCATAAATTCGTCTACATTATCCTATAACAGTAAATGTTTTAAAAGTAAATAGAATATAAGAATTAAAATAAAAATGAATACACAAGTAAAGATCCTCCAAGTTACAAACAGAAAGAAAACAAAATGTGAGAGGCAGGGATTTTAGTATGAGTGAACTTTTTCATAGGTTAGTATTTTTAATAATGGTTACCAAGAAAGGAAGAGCATAATAATGTATTGCAACTAAAGTGAACCACTTGCTGAAAACTTACAACAAATACTGCTTCTGGGATTCCAGAATATGACTTAGGGTTATCCGATTTATCTCCTTCCATTTTTCAAGTTTTGCTCGGGGAATTTTAATTAACAACTGAAAATATTAATAAAACATTATTTTTTACTTCTATCCACAAAAATCTAGTAACATTGTGTTAAGCTTAAACTTACAATAACTCTTAAATTCCTTTTATTATTTCACATAAGGCACCGCACAACAGAAAATCATAAATCGGCTAAAAAATAGCTCGAGGAAGTCCATAGAGCATAGACTAAACCATAGATTATACACTATAACTGGAACTAAACAGCAACATACTATAACATACATACAACACACTCTCCATAGACAATGAGTGCAAAGCACATACCTACAATAATGTGCAAAGCGACCGAATGACAATATTAGAGAGAAATATAAGGTACAACCAAGAATATTATAAAGTACAAGTGTTCTATATAATATTCTTGGGTACAACGCACAGACCTATATATAATACTAAATCTATGGTACAACGTGAAACGTGTACCTAACAATAATTAATTAGACAGCTGACGTTACGTGTCACTCATGTCACACACGTTCATTTCAGTATTTATTTGTTCAAGCTGAAGATTGAGTTAAAAATTGATTATTCTTATTCTCAAGATATAAAATTAAATCTACAATAATCCTAATTCTAATTGATTAATAATATGGCACCATCAACAGATTGGGATGAGATAAAAAGATTGGCAGCAGACTTTCAAAAAGCTCAACTAAGTTCTACATCTTTAAGGTAAGGAATAATTTAAATATCATAATAAAAATGTTCTCGTAAGTACAGATTTAATTTGAGTTTCAGACGTAGAGGCTTGTGATTTTCAAATTCTTAGAGAGATATGTAGAAGAAATGCTAATTAGTTTCTTGTTGGACTGAAAGAACAATATGCTTAACTGACTACTCTCATTATCATTGTTCACTAAGTTTATTATTGTATATTCTTATTTACTACGTTTTTATGTTTTTAGATTATCTGAAAGAAATTGCATCGAAATTGTTACAAAATTGATTGAATTGAAGTTGATTGATGTTATTTTTACTACTGATGGAAAGGAATATTTAACTCCTCAGCAACTTATAAAAGAAATCAAGGATGAACTGTATGTTCATGGTGGGCGCATCAATATAGTTGATGTTGCCAAAGAGCTTAATGTTGATCTTAGTCAGATCAATAACTGTGTCTCTGAAATAGTCAAAGGAAAGGAGGTGCAGCTGGTTTCAGGCTATTTAATAGCTCACTATTATTTAGAGAAAGTTGCAAGAGAGGTTAATGAAAAACTGCAGCTTCAAGGTCAAATATCAGTGGGAGAGTTGTCTTTGCATTATGACTTACCAGCAGAATTACTGCAACACAATGTGTTGGAGAAATATTTAGGCAAAATTATTTTTGGAAAACAAGACTTGTCCGAACCTAGGACTTTTTACACAGAAGAATACATAACAAGGACTAAGGCTAAAATCCGTGGTGCCTTGATGGGTTTGCTGAAGCCAACCCCAGTTGCTGTAATTGTTAATCACTGCAACTTGACTGACCGTCTATTCTCTTCACTATATGATCAACTTAATGCTCCTGGGGTACTTACTGGCCGCCAAGCTGGAGCTTTATATGTGCCATCATGCTATACAAAATCTCAAAATGACTGGGTAATGAGCTTTTACAAACAAAATAATTACTTGGAATATGATGCTCTTTCCCGTTTAGGGATATCTGATCCTAAGGGTTATGTGAAGCGTATTCTAACAAATGAAGACCTAACTTTTCTCAGTAGCTGTGTAATTGGTTCACAAATTAAACAACAGTTAGAAACAGCTTTGGAAGAATGTATAGCGTCTAGAAGTTACTTGGATGTAGTAACTTTGTTGCCATCTGTTTTGACAGACACAGACATAGAGAATGTTCTTGATGATCTCTTGAAAAAGTCAAAATCAACAATATTATTTGATAACACAGGTAAATATTTGAATGATACAGGCAAAAATTTAAGAGGGATTATCAACACATGTTTTTAAATTAATATTTTGTATTGGTTTTCAGTTTTCAGCCACCACTACATTGAAACTTTGAAGCAAGCTTGTATGCCATTGACTCAGCAAAAGGCAGAAAGTGTTGTGAAATCAGGTGTATATCAACAGTTCCATATGGAAAAACAAATCAATAAAGCTGCTGAGTTTGCTCAAACAACCCATGTAGATCACAAAGCAGAGAGACGTGAGGAGCGTAGGAGAAAAGCTGCTTCAGGAAAAGGAGGTGGTGGAACCCAAGGAAGGGAAACTAAAACAAAAGCAGTTAAAAAACATGCAAGGGGAAAACAGAATACTCATGATTCAGACTCTGATGATGGTCCAAGTGTTGCTAAAAAGTCACAAGCACAATTAGAAATTATTACTGTTGATGATGTAGAAAATGTGATTAAACAAACTTTAGAGAGTGAAGGTTTGGAAGACTTAGTGACTCGAGTAGCTGAACACTTGCAGGGGTAAAAATATTTTTTATTATCAGTGATCTAAATTTGTAAAAATATTTAAGTTCTGTCTAATTTTGATTATTCATTGTGTTGATTGTTTAGTAATTACAGATGTTTTTGGTTTTCAGAAGCCTTAACCAAATTGGCTTAACAATAGCCAAAGAAACCGCTGACAAGCTGCTTCAAGATGCTAGTCAAAATAGAAAACAAACACACACCTCTACACAAGATAAAATCAACATTTTGGTTAATGATATCAAACTTTATGAAAAAGGTCTTAAATCATTACCTGCAGATCAGCAACCTCAGTTTATCAAATACTTACTGAAATCACTAGGAGGTGATGTTCTTGCAGAGTTGTGCAAATATGCAGCAAACCAATGCAATATCTCTGTGCAAGGTGAAGTTTTGACAGTTGAACAGAGAAACAAAATAATGAATGATTTACCTGATGAATTTATGAAGCCATTAGTTTCATTAAATGGTACTTTATCTGAACAAAATATGGAATCATTCTTTCAAGCAATTGATGTCTGTCTATCTGAGTTTGGAATGATTTTGAAGAAGGTGGACAAGAAGAAAGATAAGTAAGTGTTTATAATATTACTTGCTGATTTCAGGCTAGCAGGCTAGGCCAATATAAAAAAAACAATAGAGACAAATGATGAAACTAAAGTATATACTTTTAAAATATGAGTGATGTTTAATCTAATTCCATTTTCAGATTGCTGGTTCAAAATCATAGAGAAAAGTTAATTTCTGAACTTGAGACTTGTGAAGATCCAGCTTTGAGTTTGCATATGGCAGTGTTGGCTATTTTCACAATTGTTACACAGAATATGTTGCATGCCTCTGGTCGTCAAGTACCAATTATTATATCATATTTAAAAACCCAACTAAAAGAGGATGACTATGAGCGACTCCAATTATGGCATGGTTAGTAGTGTAATTTATAATCATAAAGAATTTTTGGTGATAAATAACATAAAAACATTAATCTTATTACAATAATATTGAGAAAATACTTTAAATCTATCGAATTATGCTTATTTCAGAGTTAGTTTCAAAATATTTGACATCAGGTGAAGAAGAAAAATCAGAAGTTGAGGAGAAACTTATTCAAGAGCTGCCTTTATTGAAAAATATGGTTCAAGAAATAAAAAAATACAAATAGAAGTTTTATGAATAACTTAAATGACATGTATGTAAGTATATAAATAAAAAAAGGGTTTGGTTTGTTCTTTAATAAACTTTCTATGTAAGTTTAGTACTCGTAACGTCTTTTATTTGATTACCTGTATAATGTTGCCTTACATTAGTAATACCTACCTATCGGGCATCGGGTTTTATCAGAATCATACATAAAATCTATACGTATTATAGCAGAATGTAGTGTTTATTAGTGTGGATTAGGTCACTGGAGGTCCAATCTATTTTCCCCCACCCTCAATCCTCAATAATCTACAAGAAGACAGCAATGCACTCATAGCAACTCCTTTGGTACCTATCTATTACGAATGTCCATGGGCAGAGCTGAACGCTTACCACCAGGTAATCCGTCTGCTCGTATGACCTATGACATAAAAAATATCCCAAATTTTCCTCTTTTGTTTCAAATAATGTGAAGACTTAGTAATATGATCTACAAACTTGATGAAGCCAATAAAAAAATGTTGAGTCCACGTCCATTTGTACAAATGATTAACTTGGATCTGGCAACCCTGTTCACAATAGCCAATGACTATCTTTGACAGCACTAACATTTATCTCCACATTTTTATGTAAATATATTATGTTTAGTTTTAAATCAGTGAAATAACAGTTTGTCAATTTTGTGAATAACAAATTTTTAGAAGGATCGAGTCAATGGTTAAATCCTAGAGAAAATTGAACGACTTACTTTTTAATGAGTGAATGTCATAATTTCATTTTGACATTGACAATTGACATTATCTCAGCGTATTGTTGAACTCCATTGCGATTGCGATAATTATTGCTACGAAATATCTTTGTAAAACAAACATCTATTTCAGCTTCAATCCGCTGTAAGTAAACAATAATATCTAAGCTTTATTGACTTTGTGGATCAATGTGTAAACCGTTTTTATTGTTTGCAGGCCCACCTTCGCTGGAGGCTACGCCCTGTTTTGCATTTCCCAGTTTTCCTTTTACGTTCAACATAGGCCTATCAGATACCGCCGTTATGGACATGATGGTTTCAACGTTGCAACAGCAGCGGGCTGTAACAGAACAACTGAGACGAGAAGCTGCAATAAAGCGCGTTCCCGTCTCCGTAGTGGTATCTGACATTGTCAAATACATCAATGAACACGAACAAGAGGATTGCTTGCTGGTTGGATTTTCCAGTCAGAAAGTCAATCCATTCCGCGAGAAAAGTTCCTGCACTGTTCTGTAAAGCTACTTACTTCAATACTATCAGCAAATACACACATGGTTGAAGAAATCCTTCACATAGGTATTATACTTCTTGATGATTAAACTTTGTTGTTAAGTGTAATAATGTAGTCAGTCTAATCTAAACTTGAATAAATGTATTTATTTATCTCTTCTGGGCAGCAGTGTTTATTCAAAATTACCACATTATAAGTTTGATGACACATTATTGTCTGTGTAATTTTAAGTTACTGATTTATTTGTACTGTCAAGGGAAAATAAATGATGTGACTCAATTTCCATAATGTTTTTATTTGTGCACAATAAACTGAATTCCAATTCCTCTATAAGGTTTTTGACACTACCAATTCCACAAAAATGTTCAAAAGTAAATAGATAATATAATACAGCAATAAAAATTGTTTCCTATTGGCGCTATGTCTGCATGACATGTTAAATATAATTTTCCTCCATTACACCAAGGAGGCCACTAATACAACTGAAGCTATGACAAATAACTTGTATATGGGTAACCCAAGTGGAACATCACATACAGTTTAGACAATACTAATTGCAATATTTATCAACTATATTCATAAAAAAACTTGTATACCAAATAAGATAAAAGTTTTATTTGGTGTTAACATTTGAATGTATTACTTACTATGACTAAAACACCTTGTAGAATTATGAGTACAACATATTTTGCACAGTAATATTATTAATGTAAGTTACAATTACCATTTATTATAATATGTTGGTATAAGTATGGGTAGATCATGGGATTCTCTGGCATAGCATGGAATACCCAATTTAAAAAGGTGAATATTTGTGATAATTGTTGATTTTCAAAGATTAATTACTGGCTATAAGTAGGCTACAAATTAATTATTCACATATTTTAGGCTAGTTACATAGTCAGACAGTAGGTACTTGAAATATTATATTAGATGATAAATTGTTTATTTTAACAGGCATTATTTGCATTTTACAACAGACTATTATGTGCAATATTATAAGGTAGGTACCTACTTTTGCCAGCTATAATAAGTTAATGGGTGCACTACTTTATAAATATATATAATTACGTATAACACCTAGCACAGCAATCCAGTATGCTAACTTAAACATTCATCACATTGTACTGTAAACAAATAAAAATTTCCAAAAAACTTACAACAAGGATACACATTACTTAATAGGATTGAATAAATAAAGACAAATAATTTACAAACAATTTACATATTACACAACACCAAAGTCCTGCTCCCCACCTGTCCAAAGACCATACAAACATTTACAATACAATTATGCAAGAAGCATGCTGGAGTTATTTCTGTATATCTAACAAAATTTTCACAATTCCATGTAAGTAACTAATGTCAATGTTATATCACTTCGCCTGGACCAATACCCCAATAAATTTTTGAAACAAATTAGCCAGTTTTACATTTATATCATGGCAGTGGAATTTAACATAGGAAAACTTATTAAGTATCTTGTAAAATGTTTGAGCAAATTTGGAATTAAATGAATAAATCTTATACTAGGGGTAAAACTATATAAAAACATAAATTTACCAACTATCAGTCTTTTAAATTGATGTTGATTATCAACCTTGTGGCAATTTGTCTCTCAAAAGTTTACAAAATATGAAAAAGAATGTAAAGATAACAAATAGAAGACTAGCACTAGCATACCTATTGTCAGATTCATTTCATAAAGTTTGTAAAAAGGTAATATCTAAAAACTTAGTACTAGACTGATATTATTTTTTATTTTATGGCATAATTCATATTGAATGCCTTGCTCAGATCAGTCTAAATAATAAAATAAAAAGACAGTACAGTATAAATTGATAATTCTAATAGTTGACTGTTATGTAAATTACTACATTAATTTTTAGACTAATTATATACATACACATCTAAATACATTTACTTACAATGCTCCTTAAGAATGTTATTATATCATGATTTCAGCTCATATTCATAAGATTAGCGTTGTATTATTACTAGAGTCTACCACATTTTACCATGTACCAGCTTACACATACATTACCCAATGTTATAAGTGATAATATGGAGGACATTGTAATATAATTATAAAATAGTACTGTTATTATATACTAATAAACAAATAGATGTTATATATATGTCTGACAGTAATTTACTTTTACAGCTTTGGCTAAACTAGTACATATTTTAAATCCTTACAAATAAAATTTAAACAACTAAGTAAATAATGTTTATAAAAAGGCCTCAATGTTTAGTATATCATGAATGATTAATGCTAAAAAAGTTAGAAATACTTTTCGTGAACTGATAAAACTATAAAATGTTGCTTTTGAGCTTGTATGCAATAGATATTTGCATTTTTTGTAAACTTTTGAGGTGAACCATCCCTTAAAAATCAATTGAGGATTACATTATGTTACTCATAACTTGATTCAGGTCATTTTATTATTTGCATTGAAAACATGGTTTAAGCTATAAAAATTTTGCTTTTCTCAGTGGCAGGCAGTTCAAAAGATAAAATTTAAATTAAGAATGTAAACTTTTTTCTCTATTGATTTTCAATTTGTTTTTTGTCTGAATCAAGTCATGACAAATGAAATAATTGTGGGTTACCATCACAAATGAGATATTGATCTACACTCTCTCTTGCTTTGGTGGCGACATATCTTCATTACCATTGGCAACACTCTGATGATACAGTTTCAACAATTCCATAGCATCTTGAGCTTGACGTTTCTCAAGCAATATTCTGTAATAAACAAAGGAATGAGTTAAGATATCAGTTTAACAGAGTAGTAGTTCTATTTATTTATTGATAATATCCATGTTGTATCATTCAACACAGTGAAGGCTGTTTATGCTAAGGTTATTGTCTGAAAAATAATCAGCTTCAAAATTTAGTTTATATTGGACAATTCATGTTTTTTTGTAATATTGCCATGTCACTTGGTTTTTCTTCTGTATTGTCGGTGTGTTTACAAACATACAAATTCACAAACATACATATCTACACTAACTAAATTTGTGAATGACACAGCTCTTCCATACCAGTTTCTGAAAAAATGTGTTTTCAGTGTAAATCTATTTCCTATAGTTAAAAAAGACTTTTAGAGCATAACTCAATAAATTTTAATAAAAAATATCATAATCATATTAGCAATGTTACCTTCCAGATGCTTCTTTGATGTGCTCCAAAATTATTCTATTGTCTCTATCAGTCACAATATCTGCAAGACTGTCTGGATCCATGTCTGACAACAATTCCAAGTCTTGACCCCCAAGCAGTGAGATATGGCACAAGTTGTGCTGCAGCCTTCCAACCAAGTTGGCAACTTGTCCTTTGTCTCCTAATGCGATGTCATCAGTTTGATCAAGAGACACTTGGCACTTTGGCATATTTGGAGACCATTTTTCATTACCATGTAAAATCATAAGAGATGTATCAGGTTCTAAAGTAGAAAAATATTCCTCGTCGTCCACTTCAGTGCCATCAGATTCCAAAACCACTGTTAAATTCTCCGAAGGCATTCCTAATTTTTCTGGCACTTTTGCAAGAAGATCCTCAAGGGATAATGCCACTATACCTTTCTTTTTTTCTCGATTTACATCACAGATTTTATACGGCTTGTTAATGTCGTGCTCCATTTGTTTTGCTCTGTTAAAAATTAATTTACCAGTAATTTGAGTTAGTGACTAACACGATACAAAATTCTATTGTTTTTTGTTCAATATTCAGGCACAGAGAAGCTAGGGAGTAGGAGGTACTCTCAAAAATTGACGAGACTTAACTTCGCTATTCGCGATCGCGTAGTGGTCGATTTGACGTTTTATAATATTGCCAGATCAGAAATATGCACTTTGGTTAAGTTGTAGGTACCTAGTCAGAAGTGTTTTTTGTAATTCTTGAATTATAATTATTTTTGTAAAACTAGCCCGAGTAGTATGTACGTCGGTCAATAGCTTTAAAACGACTGCCTCCCTCAAGCTCCCGCTTTACTTTGCCGCTGACGGCGGCGCGGCGCCGATCAACATGACACGAACATCTCGTTGATAAACTAAGTAGGTAGGTATATCTTAACTATGTAGGTCCATAAAACCACACCGCGCGAATAAACTTTGATCTGATGATCTGTTTATATTTTTAACTAATCCTAAGGAGTTCAATTAGTAGTAGGTAGGTAGCAAAATATCGTTTGATATATTTTTAGATACAAATACAAACCTTTGAACTTTGCAATTTCTTATAAAAATCTTTTAGAATTTAGAATTAAAAATTCAGTTCTGACCTTACAAAACTCATAAAGCGCAGACTTATAACTGTTTTTATTGTTCGTTACAGTTGAGTCATGGCATGGCTGATGTTAATCGTAGTTTTTGTTTGTTTTGGAAAATCATCCAATGACTTCTAAGGGGCGGAAGAGAATGTCAGACTGCGGATTGCGGTACCAACATAATTGCGCTTGCACCCGCGATCATCAGTTCAATCACTTAGGTACTTCATTGAACTAAATTCAAAGTGACTTTGTAGCAATAGCTCTACCTACCTATATAGGGTAATTAATTAATTTAAGTTAATTAAGGTGCTAACATTTTTTGTGTATGAAAGTACCTAAGTTGTCTAATTGTCAAGAATGACTTACATGTCTATACCTTTAACTTACTTTAGCCATACCTACTTAAGTAATGTGCCTGTTTATAAATAAGTCTATTTAAGCATCGTAACGATATAACTGACCTCTCTAAATAACTAAGAAGCATAATATGACACTGGATATTGCACCTACATAATATCACTAGGTCCTTTTAGAAGGTGGTTGTCGTAATACGCAATACAGGGCGGTTCTTGCGGTTTTCTGCACAAAGAGGTATCAGAGGTATAACAACGCCATTCACGCAAAAATTAATCACAAAAAAAAACAAAAAAAATCACTTGTGTTCCTCATAGTCCTTTCTACCATCGTACCACCAGACAATCGGCAAAACGTCATCGCTTCACGTGGATATCCCTCCAAAAAGCACAAAGCGGTTCGCATCCAGATTCAGAATCAGAAAAGCTAAGAAGGGAATTCTTTGCCTGAGTCTGTGTTCTTATGGTAGGCGTGCTACTACATCGTAGATCATCACTTACAACCAGGCACGATAGAGGGAAATGCCTGCCCACTACGATAAAATTATATACACGTAGGTTAAATTGACGGGTTGTTTGAAATATAAATACCTACCTATATCAAGTAGGTACCAATAAGTAACCACACTTAGAAAAGATGTGATTGAACTCGTGTTGCCTAACCACTTGCCTAATTGAATTAATGTATACTTGACACGACATTGTGTACGCGGCTTTACTTAGGTATTTTCTTGAAAATAATTAGGTAAGTATATATAAGTATTTAGAAGCGTATCAACTCATACATCGGGTCTTGTCTACGGCTTAGTTAGAACATATTGTCGAAAAAATCACTTTATAACTAGGTAACGTACTTACTTACTGACTTTGTTCGACTTTCAAACTAAGCTAGGATTTTACAAGACAACCCTTCAGTGTTTTGTTTGTGTGTGTGTTTAATATTACTCATTTCAATGTCTATGTTTTATAATTATTAGTATATTTTAGAGTGTAAGGTAAGAAAAAAGTTTTTAATATTTTGAAAAATTTCTTAAAGCTTGATTTATATCTTAAACTCTTCATGGTAAATGCAATATATATGTAGTATGTAAGTACATGTAATAAATTTTCTCTGGTGATCAGCACGAGGGCTACAGACAGGTATACAAGGGCGGTCGTGGGGTCACGTTCGGTCACAGCGCGGCGCGACGGGCGGAGATCAATATAGTCCCCCCTACCGACTCACCCCCTCAATACTCTGTACCTACTAGAATGCAATTTGCAACTCATAGTTCAATAGTTTCATATTACTAACATTGTAAAGGTAACAGATCAATTAAATGTAGGTAGTAGTTTAAATAGGAACCATGGATCCATGTTTGAACTAATATATAAATTACTCAAGTGTTAAATATATATACCTAGTATAAAACTAAACCTGAAAACTTTTAATTCGTCCAGCTTATTAATATTGGCATTTTACTTTTTGTTCCGGTATTTGTAGGTACTCAAAAAACAGATTAGATTGCAAAAACAATAGAGATGCGTTTTCTTAGCGTTAGATAGGTACACATACATAAAGCGTACCTTCAGCCTTACAAAGTTGATTAATGTTTCATTGCCACGGGATGCACACAGGTGCTTAAAATGTAAATAACAACTACATTAGCTGGGCGGTTTACTACCACTGTGAGGCTCTAATGGATATCAATTTATAACGTTTTCAAGATGACGTCTTTGCACCCACCAAGATCTAGGTAAATTTAAAATGTTTCAAAAGTTACGAAGTTAAGTAGAAGTAGGTTGTACTAATCTTAAAAACGGTAGACAGAACTGGTGACTAAGTACTAAGCTCTCCTACGCTTATTTGACTCACTAAATGGGTTTTCGCGAACTCTCGAACGCTAAATCGTTTTATGGCATTGGAAAGAGGTAGACTCGCCCAATTTCATCAAAAACCCCGAGGCAAACGTTCAAGATTGAGCCAACAAATACGGACGTAATAATATTGGAGAATTACTAGCCAATTTTCAAGGTAGATAATAAAACTGTTCGACGAGATGAGACAAACATTTAATGAAGGAACATGGAAAATAATTACAATTTCCTTGTGGAAAAATAGTTAAATTGTTTGTTGTTTATCGTGGTATAAGGTAAGCAACTGGTGGTTTGTATGAGTCTCTGCATTATTAAATACTGAGTGAGGATGGACTAGTTTTGTGTTCACAACGAACAACGCATCTGCAATGCTAAAATAAACATAGCCCACGAGGCCACACAACGTGCAGTGTAGGTAGTAGGCAGGTGTACGATGTAACATGTAACTAGAACTACCCACTTCAAACCACGAGTATTGTTCCTGTTATAAAAGCTACGAGCATGAAGTATGGAAGCTACAAGTATGATACCTACCTTTACAAGAGATGTACCTAACTTTTACACACGACAAATTACATTATTTAGGTAAGTACTTTCCGAAAAGTATGGTCAGCTGAGGTATATTTTTGTCAGATGTCAATATCTAAGCTCTATCAAATGGAAGCTTATAAACTAGATATCATAAGCTAGACATTAAGGTTTTACATTGTAATGACGCCATAATAAAAAGTATCGCGCTGGGGCTCGGAAGGGTCAAAATAAGCAATACTTAAGTGCCAATGTGACTTATACCAAATTATTTATATGGTCGTACTTTCTAAGTTTATTTAAAGACAAATGACACACGGTAAATGAAAACATCGTGAGGACACCTCGACGTGTAAATTGTAATTGTAAGTTGAAAAAATACCAATCCACCTAGGACCCTGCTTATTAATGCTCAAACTTCCTCTTTATGAGAAAAGCAATAAATAGGCTGGTGATTATAATGAATATAAATTAGTACTTATATAACATTTACTTTGGCTATGTTAACTTATTAATTTATCAATATTGAAATTCACTCAACGCCTATCGTGTCGGTCGCCAGACTAAAGGTAAATGAATCCACATAATTTAATTTGCCGCCAATTCCTCGCTTTGTGCACGTCCAGCTTAAAAAGGCATTAGGCCTTTTTATATTATTACAGAATACACTGTCTGTTTCGTCGTACCTCATATATAAGGGCGTATGACACCTTTTAATTGTATCATACGTAATATTACAGTACTTAATAGGTATTCGAAAGATATATTCATAGATACCTACTTACCTTTTTTATGTCATAAGTCGGCTAACGAGCAGACGGATTACTTGACGGTAAGCAATCGTCGCCCATGGACACTCGTAGTATCGAAAGAGTTTTTATAAGTGCGTTGCCGATCTCTTGGGATTTAAGAATTGGGGATTGAAGATGGGGAGACTAGAAAGATTACACCTACGGTAATTTTTCCCACACTTACCTATGTTTCATTTATCTTACGTACCTAATATTAATTCTTGAAATAAATTTAAAATCTCAAATGACCTTGTGGACTAGGGTTAGAACGTACATATTTGAATAACTAGATACGTACAAATATTTATATAGGTGCCCAATACCCAAGTAAGTATATGCGACTTTGAAACTTCAATAGAATCCCAATTCACCCGAATGGACTGTTTGGTTGATAAATGTATGTAGGTTAGCTACACTCGTGAATAATATAGCTGAGTGATCCATAAAATTTGCATTAAAGTTGACATCCGTTCTTTATTTTTATGCCTTTCCTTCTATCTGTTGGAGATGTGACCACTCACGAGAGTGGGCAGAGCAAATTATACCAATCTGGATGATGGATAATATTAAAACTAAATTTCAACGTCAAAAAAATATTGGCAGTTGCGGCTTCCAAGCACGGGGTCTGGGTCTTTGCCATAGCAAAAGGTTGCCAGAAAGAAGTCGCAGAATACGATATGCCCATATTTGTCCTCCTCTTAAACCTAAACTGGCATAGCACGGCATTTAGTAAAGGGTACCTATTATTTACACAATAAATAGGAAAGCAGTAGAGACCTTGACTTACCTACCCCTTCAAAGAATAAAAAGCTTGACCTTATCTCACGTATGTACAAACAAAACCCAGACCTTTTCCGATTTCATGTATAATAGAAAAGTCCGTACACATACAATACAAAACAAAGCAATACGAAGACTGTCACAACTATTTCCGATATATCAGAATAGTGTTAAAATATAGTGTATGCAGTCCACGTGAGAAATGTTTTATAAAGCACGGGCGTGACTTGTTTCGAGTCATATTTTTCAATGACACTGTGGATGGTAGAGCCATTTTGCAAGTGGAGG